ATTAAGCAATTCTTTTTGTGTCTTTAGTCTATTTTTTATGTCCAGATGTTTCCTGTAGGCATTTGTAATCAGATCTTTCTTACTCTGATTATCTTTGAAACAGAAAGCATTTGATGGTGATGCTAGTGGTGAAATCATTGAATTTATCCATTCTGAAGTGTATGCATCTCAGCGTGCCTAACTCTTGCTTGGTAGTAAAACAGACTGAGATTTACTTTCACTAAGCAATACAGAACACCTCCTAGTTTTATGCGATGGATCTAGGAAGGCTATTTTTGTTTAGTGTGGCTACTGGTTAAAAAATAACATGCTTATTGAATATTTGTGTAATTGTAACAGAGATTTTGGAGATGGCAATGAAATATTGAAAGCAGACTTTCCTTTTAATAATTAGCTGTTGTCATTAAAATGTAAATGTGAGAAGTGTAAACACAGAAATGTATTTTACACTCTTTCAATATTGCCCCAAGACATTTAATATTCAGGTTTTCGATAATATACCCATTTATTTACAATTGGGAAGGCATAAATCTTTGGCATTGCATTCAGAGATATTAAAGGAGTACTGTTCAGTAAACTGAGATGTTCATTTTAGCAACTGGTATGTATTTGTTTCCCTGTGTCTCTTTCATGATTTAAAATACAAGGATCACGTTTTGCTCAGTATGCTTGCTTCACATTTTACCTGCCTGGTTGATAGAGACTTATTTTTATAGAACCTTTTATTTGGCTAGATTATGTACACAGAATGAGAATCTGTTATCATTATGGTGATTAGGTAAGTAACAAGTGATGAATATGTTTGGGTGTAGTGAGCAGAATTATTTCTATATTTTTATCAATAAGTGCACTTTTTGTAAGAAAAATGAATGTGCTATCTCACCATCAGAATATAATTCATTTTATATGTAGTGCCATCTGTGAGCACCAGTTTGGTGTAGAGGCTAAAGACACTGATTTAGAAAGCAGGAGACTAGCCTGCCTTAGGCACAAAGCCAGATGAATGACTCTGAGCCAGTCAATCGTTTTTGAAAAATATTGCCAAAAAACCCACATGCAGTTGCCAGGAGTTAAGACTGTCTCAAAAGCCCCAGGGGAAAAAAAAACCCCATCTTATAATCAATACTAATTGAGCCAAAACAATCCTACATTCTACCCATAAGCTCAGTGTGCTGTATTGGCTCTTCTCCTACTGATTTTGAACCAAGAATGTGCAGGTAAATTTATAATCTGATGTGATGTGCCCCAGTTTATTAAATCTCTAGAAGGTACTTCTTGTCTATTTAACATACAGAACTTTTGACATGAGATGTGATTATGGCTTTAGCTAAGGAAGCTAATGAAGGAGTGATAAAAGCAAAGAAACAAGATTCTATCAGTTTGAATCAGATCTGATCTACAATTTTCAAAAGAATTTTTCGGTTCATTAAAAATGCTATCACAACTTTGAAAGGACAGATTTTTAGAATATTTCACAGACATTAATTACAGGAACTTTGATAATTTATGCCACCATGAAATATAGTTTTTCTCAGACTGGGTTCGTTTTGTTTCTAAGATACATAGCTTTCTACAGACATTTTATTTTCCCCTAGAAGTACATGAACATCTACTTGTTCTTTGGCCTTGTTTACTTATTTAGTAATTAAATGTGGGCTCCCACCATTTTGCTTATATAAACACTCAAGGCACTTTATGGCAATTAAAACAAAATACAAAATATAAACGTAACAGAATTGATACAATTAAAATTAAAATAATTATTAAAGTCAATCAAAACTTGGCAAGAGACATGCATCTGTTTTTGCCATTCTCCTAAATATTGGGCGAATAAATAGCCAAACACACTTCCCTGAGGAGAGCATTCCATAATGGGGGACTAATACAGGAGAACACCCACTCCCACCTACCTCTGGCAGTGGAGGCATCTTGCAACATGGCTGCTGTATCTTGCATGGCATATACTTTCCAGACAGTTGTCATAGCATAGTCATAAACACACTTTATGCAAAGGACCAAAACTAAATCAAAACAGTGCTTCCAGAGTCCTACCCCGACCAGACAACCACGGAAGATGCCATAGTTAATGATATCAAAAGCTGCCAAAAGGAGGACTAGAGAGTTGCACTCCCCCTATTTAATTTCTAATACAAGTCATCCACCAAGGTAACCAATGAGGTTTCAGTATCATATCCTTGATAAAACCTTGATTCAAACTGACCCAGATAGTAAGTTTAATCCAAATGCACTTGGAACTTAAGAATTACCATGTTCCTGATCAATTTACCTAAGAATGAAATACTTGAAACTAGCCTATAATTCCAGAAAACTTCTGAGTTAAGGGAGAGCTGCTTTGCTAAAATTCTTATAACTCCTTCCTCCCCTGCTCAAGAAAGCATTGATCACCTTCCTCAAGCATAGAGCCAGTCAGCTTGGCCAATTTAAACAGTCAGGCAAAAGCAGGTGGTGGCCATCCTTGATACAGATACCCTGTCCACATCCTTGAGATCTAGAAACTGAACAGAATCCATATGAACAGGAACAAGCAGTTAATCCCTGTATGATACCACCCACTGCCCGAAATTGTGTCTGACTTGAGGTGAATCTGATCAGCTTTGCAAGGAACAATGTGAACCTCCAACTGTTCCCTCCCTGAACATCTTGATGAAGGAAATGCAACACAGTACCGAAAAACATTGCCAGGGGAATGTTTGCTGTATCTACTGCCACAGAATAGGATTTCAAAGCCCTACTCTGTGTTGTTCTGATTCCTCTTGAGAGTTCTACCGCTCCCTCTGCAGTTCATTTCTCTCAGCCCCTTAGTAAGCCAAGGTACTGATTCAACCCTACTGGATGGAAGAAAATGCTTTATGCCATCTCTGTGTCCCAGACTTTGTCCAAGACTTCATCAGTAATTCTGTCCTCCTTTTCAGGCCCCAGGTGCAGGAAACATTGGCTTTTGAGTGTGTGTACTTGGAATAGGGATTTTGTTGGTATACTAGGAACCTTGCTGCCCAATTATCTCTCCATCTGCACTGGTGGAACTAGCCTCAAATTGGTATTGAGAGTCTCTAAGCTGTTGGTACTTGCTGTTGTTTTCTCATATTCAAAGTGTTAGTATCAGCTTATAAATCCCTTTATAAATAGAGTCCTATTAAAGGACAAAAGCAGATAAGTGGTCTGTACAATTACTGTATATCCATATAAAATGTGACAAGAAAAAAATGAAATTGAAGGCATTGTATTGATTGTTAGACAATAGAAGCCCAATTTGCAATAAGGACTGTCTTGTTGTTGTTGTTTAGTCGTCGTGTCCGACTCTTCGTGACCCCATGAACCATATTGCGCCAGGCCTTCCTGTCCTTCACTGCCTCCCTGAGTTTGCTCAGTTTCATGCTCATTGCTTCAGTGATGCTATCTAACCATTTCATCCTCTGCCGTCCTCTTCTCCTTTTGCCTTCAATCTTTCCCAGCATCAGGGTCTTCTCCAAAGAGATCTCTCTTCGCATTAGGTGACCAAAGTATCTGAGCTTGAACTTCATTATCAATCCTTCCAATGAGCAATCAGGGTTGATTTCCTTTAAGATTGACTGGTTTGACCTCCTAGCAGT